CGATCCATATCCAATGCCCAATTCAGTTCTCTCCTCGACTCCTTAGGACATCACTTCATCTTGGGTGCAGACCTAAATGCCAAGCACCAACAATGGGGTTCCAGAACCACGAATTCTCGTGGCCGAACCCTGCTGTCTGCACTCAATTCCCAACGTTTTCACCTCCTTTCCCCCAACTCTCCTACCTACTGGCCCACAGATCCCAACCGTAATCCTGATCTTCTTGATTTCTTTATCCACAGCGGCTTAAGTCCCCTCAATTGTTCCATTACACGTCTAAATGAACTTTCCTCTGACCATAGTCCTCTAATCCTTAATGTTTCACTTGAACCTGTTCCCAAACCTTCTCCACCGTCATTCATTAGGGGCCCAGTAAACTGGGACCTTTTCCGCCAAATAATCTCCGATAATATTGATCTCAACATATCCCTCAAAACTCCCGATGACCTTGATAGTGCCGTAAATTCCTTTACTACCACAATCCAACAAGCCGCCTGGACTGCCTCCTTTCCAAAAGACTCCTCCAGAATTCCTATAAAGACCATTCTACCCCAACACCTCCTTAACCTAATCCGCACCAAACGCCGTGCCAGATTATTATGGCAACGAACCCGACATCCTACCGACCGCTGCTCCTATAATTACTACTGCAAACAATTAAAACTGGAATTAGCCACCTTCAGATCACAATCCTTCAACTCCTACCTATCCTCCCTCTCTTCTCGCGACAATTCCCTTTGGAAAACCACAACAAAAATCCTAAATCCTCACCGCATTTCCCATCCTCTCCGACGAGGTGATGGCTCCTGGGCAGCATCTGACGAAGATAAAGCTGAGGAGTTCGCCATTCACCTATCCAATACATTTATTTCACATCCGGAATCCCATCCTGCCCACACCGTAACAGTAGAAGAACTCCTTACATCACCAATCCCACTTTCCTTGCCCCCAAAAGCTATTCATCCTTCCGAAGTAAAATTTCAATTAAAAAAACTAATCCTCCGTAAAGCTCCTGGACATGATCTCCTTACACCTCAAATCCTTCGACAACTTCCATCCAAAGCAGTCATATTCCTTACATATATCTACAATTGTATCCTACGCACCACCCACTTCCCTCTGTTATGGAAACACTCCACTATTATCCTTTTCCCAAAACCAGGAAAACCTCTCAATAGCTCAACATCCTATAGACCAATCAGCCTACTCCCAATCCTTTCAAAAATTTTTGAAAAGATCCTTTTGAAACGAATCCTACCCATTATAGAATCCCAAAATATCCCTTCCCATCAGTTTGGTTTTCGCTCTCAACATTCTACTGTTCAACAAGGACTCCGAGTTGTTGATCATATTTCCTCAGCCCTAGAAAACAAGGAATACTGTTCGGGTGCCTTTCTGGACATTGCACAGGCATTTGACCGGGTATGGCACTCCGGACTGCTCTCCAAGCTTAAAATCCATTTACCTCAGTCCTTGTACCTAGTCCTCCGATCCTACCTCTCTGACCGCTCCTTTCGAGTTCGCTGTGGAACAGAATTTTCCAATATCTACTCCGTTAAAGCCGGTGTTCCCCAAGGCAGCGTCTTGGGTCCCGTGCTTTACATCCTCTTTACTGCTGACATCCCTGTTCATCCCGATACTTTTCTTGCAACATTCGCTGACGACACCGCAATCTTATCATCCAACTCTGATCCCGAAATAGCATCCTTAAATCTCCAAAGTCACCTCACCTTGATTGAGCACTGGTGTAATAACTGGCGCATTAAAGTTAATGAATCTAAATGCCAACATATTACCTTTACACTCCGACGCAATTCCTGTCCACCAGTACTCTTTAATTCCATCCAGCTTCCTTATTCAGACACAGTCCGGTATCTTGGCTTTCATTTAGACCGAAGACTAACTTGGAACCCGCATACTAGACTCAAAAGACAAGAACTCAACCGACGATACGGCCAACTATACCGACTACTAAGCAGAAAATCTAAACTTTCCATTGAAAACAAGCTACTGATCTACAAGACAATACTGAAACCTATTTGGACTTACGGACTAGAACTGTGGGGATCAGTAAAGTTTTCTAACATCAAGCGCATCCAATCCTTCCAGTCTAAAGTCCTTCGAACAATAGTCGATGCTCCTTTCTATGTATCCAACAAAACCCTACATCATGACCTTAACATCCCATTTGTCCTAGACCTTATCCCAGAAAAGTTCTCCAAATTTCACCAGAACCTTACTTACCACCCAAATCCTCTTGCACAATCCCTATCAAGCATCTCCCATCCCTATAATCCTCCAAGAAGGTTGAAACGGCAGTGGCCTCGCGACCTTTTGTAAATTATATAAATTGGAGTTCTGGCAATGGCCAGATTCTTCACTCAAGACATGTGTGTATGTGGCTAAAGTGCTCTCGACCAATCTCCGCTGGCTTTAGTACCAGTGACGCGGTTGGAAGAGTAGCGCAGGGTTCTCCTGGAGTTCCCTCGCCTGATTGTAAATATGCATGCAAGTTATTTTTTTTTTTTTTCCTTAGTTTTAATTTTCTTATTTTTTAGGTTATTTTATTTTATTGTCTATTGTATATACTTTTGATTATTATTTTGTTCTATTTATTTTATTTTTTTTGTACATATGGTGTGAATGTCATCCTACCTCACTATAACCAATGTCGAACAGACAGATTGTTATAATACTCAATAAAGAAATTTAAAAAAAAAAAAGATGTTGTCAGTTTTATTTGTTATTGGGTAAAAGAGGTGTACCTTCTTATTTCTTATTATATTTGGAGGTTAGGTTATAACTACGATAGGTAAAGAGTGACAACAAAGATGTTTTGTTTTTTTGAAAAATAATTTGCGATAGCGAAGTAGAAAACATCCGAAATGTTTTATATTTCTCAGTTTTCCCAACACAATACTCGAGGTGACAATTTTGTGTCACAAGTCATGAAGCAAATATGTTTCGTGTTTGCAACCAGCGCAAAGCTGAAAGTCGTTAAGTCCATCTGCCGTCGACGCTCTTGGTACAGATGTTTCTACCAAAAGCGTTCGTTTACAAGCCCATACTGTGCCTTTACTTATTTGTTTTTAAATTATTATCGTGGTTAGCTTAGTTATGGTATTAGTATTAATTTTAGAAATCTACCACATTTTACTTTCTTCTAAATCATTTCGAAATGCCCCATTGCTTAAGTTTCTCATAAATTAAATTTTTTCTAATATTTCTTCAATCCGATATCTAGGTCTCCACCTGCACAAACCTCTGCCTTGGAATCCTCTTACAATACTGAACGACAAGAAACTTCGACGTGTCCGACTACTTCAGCAATTACCAGACAAACGCTCTAAGCTTCCAATTAATTAAACAAAAGACTCGTACACATTACTATTATAAGGCCTTTTTGGACTTATGGAGTTGAGCTTTGAGGTTCCATTAAACCATCGAATTCCTTCCTTACAATCCAAATTCCTTCGTAAAATTCTCAATGTTCCATGTGTTATCGATTTTGCCCAATCCGGATACCCATCCTTCCGTAATAAACCTCAGTACCATCAACAGTAAAAAAAAAAAAAGTTTTTGCCTGAATTAATATAACGTTTGAGAATGTTATTATTTTTAAAAATAAAAATGTCATTTTTTAATTTTAAAAAAATGAAAAGAATCGTTCATAAGAATCGAATCACCACAATGATTGAATCATTGCGAATCGATTTAGTTAAAAGAGTCGAAATTCCCATCTCTAATTTAAAATTATTGTGGTGTGTAAAAGGGATACGATAACGCAGAACACTTAATCGTTTGCTATGATTGATCCGGATATTCTTCCATGCTTTGAGGTTTAGGCTACCTGCCTGCGCCTGGAATGGTGTTTTATATTTTCTTTTTTATGTTTTTCATTTTAAACAAAATTTTAATTGAATATAATATGTATATAATATTTCAAAATTTCTACAAAGAAAAGAAAGAAAGAAAGTAAATTTTATTCTAGGATTTTTAGTCCCCTAATAAATTTTACTAAATAAACATGTATAATGATAATTGGATTATAATATAGATTTGTCTGGCACATAATGACTGTCAAATAATAATTAAGTTACAGAGTTGTGTAACATTAAAATAAATATGCTATTCTAAATATACATATAACACGATGAAATTATAGGTGAATTGATATTTGTGTGTTTACATACAACCTAATCTCAATTAATCAACATGTTAAAAAATATATTTCTATGTATTATTTCCATTTTATTATACAATATCAATGATTAAACATGAAACCTGTAGTATATTTAGAAACATTTGGTCTATTTATTTCATACACGATAAAATCCAAGTTAATTTATATAACATGATTTTATACCTGATCTGTAAATAAATATAATGTATTTAAAATTCTTTAAATAAAAATATAAAATTTAAAGGAACTGAATTTTTTCAAGGGAATAACAAACAATGAATAAAAAAGAAAAAAATATATTTTTAAAATATTAAAATAAAAGAGGGTTGAGGGGATATTACATTTCCACGAAATCTCCGCCCTAACCAGAATTCTCCTCCACTTGTTTTTATTTAAACCAGATATAGCTGTTATTCTAATTAAAATTCATCCAAAAAAAGAATAAATTTTCATTGTTCATCGATAATTCATATTGTTAATCATTCTCTAACAGTATTATTTTGGGGTGGGGTGTCTTATAAAATTCTTCCTTTTTTTTTTATTTTTTATTATTTTTTTTCTAAGATTGATTTACTGTTGTATATGAATCGTTCTTCTCTATTACCTTCTTCCATCTCTCAGGAAGCCACATTTGTTTCTCTTTCCAAAGTAGTGAGATTTACTTGCAAAATACTCATCGAAGTGCATTTTTATTTGGCTTTCGGATTTGTAACATTTATTAAGAAAGAAAGAAGTAATAATCGGATGGGGAAAGGTTTGGGGAGTACGGAGGATGAGATAAAATGTCACAATCAAACCATAAAACCAAGTATCAACTATGTTCACGCACCAACGGCGCTCCGCGCTCCTGCAACACATCGATGTAGACGGGGCTTGCGAACCCAGTCGCTGTATAAGTGCTCCGCAATGTTCACTGAAGGATCTAGTCATCCGATATATATTTTTTTTTTAAGTGTATCAAATGACAATAAATTAATTTGATATTGTTGTAATTAATTCATATTAATAAGATTTATATTATTAATCTTTGAACAATAAATTTATTTCAGTAAATGTTACAACGTATTAATATTTACAAACATTTCGGATTAGGTGATATACAAAACTTAGAAATGAATATTTTTTTAAATATTAATAACTATCCTTTCCATTTATTTTAATCTTCTTGGTTTTTATTTTCTATCTTCGGTATCCTCATAAAAGAACTATCGTCATATTTTTACAAACCTCAACAGATAATTGCTTAGCAATTCCAATGCCCAACCCTGCATGTTTGATTTTTCCTAATTTTATTTATTATTTAGTTATATATTCTATTTATTTTTATTTAATTTGAATATACTTCAGAAGAATGGAGGGAAAGACAAGGAAACACCGAGTTCGAAATAAGACAATGAGGTCAAACCTGGAACATAGCCAGCTGAGGATATCATCGAGGAACTACAGCTGAGATGGTTCGGCCATGTTGTTAGAATGGAAGAGGACAGGTTGGCGAAAATGGTGCATGAGGACAAGAGGAAGACATGGGAAGGCTCCTTGACAGAAGAGGGCTGGAATGGGAAAGGAGAAGAGGGATGGGATCGAAGATAAAAGTTCTTGGATCAAGCTCTACCTAAGGAATCCTCACACTGCTGAGAGGAGGAGATTAAATAAATAATTTGAATATTTAGTATTCCACAATAAAGGATTTTTTTATTTGTTCAATTAGCGAAAGACATTTTTTATCCATCCACTCCTCTTAAATTGGTATTGATGTTTTTCTCTTGTTGCGTTCTAAGATTTTTCATTATTAGTTACATTAAAAGAAGTGAACTCGCCTATTTTATATTGTTCCTTCGTTAAAACGCTAAACCGCATTAGAATTAGAATTTGAAGATAAGAACATTTGGCTGGCTACCTATTACCTTTTAAATCAATTACCATGATTGAGATCTGTGAAAATTGCACGGGTGTACTTTCAATTTGGGTAATAATTATTATATATAAAAGCAGTAATTACTCTAAAGATTATAAAAAAAATTAAGTAATGAAAGAAATTAGGATCCAATAAGCCGAGAGCTGCTATGAAAAGCCCATTAGTAAATCATGTTAAAAATCTAAATCTCATTTCTTACACTCATATTAAATATTTTATTTTGCATAATTTTTATAAATAAAAATTGCATTTTAGTAATTAATTTATTACAATATATCCCAGGTCACAGGAAAAATAATATACAGGTTGAATCAGTTTTTAGTGATCAAACTCTGGAAAGTGATTCTAGAAAAAATTATCCAACAAAAACGTTCATTTGATGTATGGGCCCCGGGTTGTAAATTCCAAACGGTTAAGGCCAATTTTTTTTATTTAAGGTGGTCACGGTGTTTATTGAATTCGAAGGAATTTCTCAAAAACTGTTCAAGATAAATAAATTCTAAGTACACCATCGTAAAATAGACGAAAATTTCTTCGAGAAAACAGTGATTAGATTTACTAAGGTCAATGATGAAAAGGGACTTTCAAGAGGTCTAATTGGGCTGCTGTACTCCTGCAGTTACAGTACCCATACCCAAGCAGCTTATCTCTCTAATCCCGATTCGTGAAATAATTCGGGATAATGGTAGGGTTTGCGTTATTAGAACTCCTGCAAGTCCCTTTTCTCATTTGCCTTAGTAAATTTAATGACTGTTTCCTAAAAGAAAATATTGTCTATTTTACGATGGTGTACTTAGAATTTAATTATTTTGAACAGTTTTTGAACAATTCCTGCTTATTTAATAAAAAAACTTTACCACCTTAAGAATAACACAAAATTTGTCGTAACTTAAATGTAAATATAATTTTACATATATTTAATTATGCAACAAACGTTTAAAATATTTAATAAAACAAAAATATAAAGATAAGATTTTGTTTTTATGAAAAAAACCTAAGTTTTAAACATGACCAACGAATATATACCACTGAAGAGAAGGCTTAAATTCCCCAAAATGTAACAAAGAATAATCAACAAGCTGTACGTGAATGATTTCATTGGGTTCGACCCATAGGAAAAATGTAGTGAAGAGTAGTGTTCCCAACTGCGAGATGAAGACTAGTCTTGGTCTTGCGCCAGAGTCTTGAAACAGTCTTGCAGTAACCTACTAGGCTATTACTATAGAGATATTACTGTAATTTTTCAGATAGTGGAAACCTTACTAAGGCCGAATGAAAAATTGGAAGAGTTAAATGCAAAGGTATATTGTTTATACCAATTATAACCAATTTACATATAGTAACTAAAATTGTCGAGTATTATTAAATATTTTGCCTTAATTTTTATTAACAAAAACATTTTTTTTTTTACCTGTCTTTGTCTTGATCTTGCAAAGTGCAAGACCAAGACCGATTTTGGGCAATACTAGTGAGGAGATATTTAATGGGAAAAGGTCAAAACACGAAACTGGTAAATAATTAAGATTTAGTAAATAAAAAAATTCTATTGAAAGTTGTGTGATACATCGCACCTAGTGTTGTCCAAATGCGAGACCGAGACGACTCTTGGTCTTGCAAACTCAGTCTTGGTCATAATCTTGGTCTTGCGCAAGACTCTCGTAACATTCTTGCAGTTACCTATTACCTTATTACAAGAGAAATATTACTTTATTTTTTTAAATATGTGAAACCTAACTAATTCTGAATGAAAAATTAGAAGAGATCAATGTAAAAGTATATTGGTTACACCAATTCTTCATATATAGTAACTAAAATTGTCAAGTATTAGTAACTATTTTGCCTCAATTTTTATTCAAAAAATCGATCTTCGTCTTGATCTTGTGCAACAGACAGGCGGTGTTGGTCTTGTCTTGCAACCGATTTTGGGAAACACTAATCGCACCAAATTAATTTTATTAACATTGGTAGAAAAATTGAATACACAAATATATAAAGTTTGTGTGTATGAAACACGTATTTACAACGTACATTTGGACGGAGTGGCACGAGCTAAGAGTAGTGAAAGCTGATGCATTTACACCCCTCCCTGTTTATATTTAGATTTTATTTACCTAGCTGTCTGCGCCTCTCGAGTGTACTCGACATAAACTAAAGATGTTCCATTCTCTCCAGGATTTGTAGCTATTTTTTTTTTTTTAACTTATTTATTGAAAAATATTACAATCTGTCTCTAGGACATTTATAATAGAGTTCACAGATCACATTCACACTCTATGTTGTAGCTATTGAGTAAACTCATATTAAACAAATGAACCCACTGCCATATTCCATGTCTTCTGTATGGTGAAAATTATTTGTATTATTTTCTCTTCATTTGGTCCAGTATTGGGTAAGTTTTAAGCTGGGCTCATACATTTCAAAAACAAGAATACAAGAATCACAATCGTTTCTGTTTTCCTAAAGGACAAACATGGCGGACGTGGAAGCTGTTTTGGTGATTGCATTTGCCCTAACCTACTATAATTATACAATTATAAATAAATACTAATCTAAATATTAATAAAGGGAGTTTATGTTGTGAACACGTCTTCTACCCTAACTATTCTCGGAATCCGGATATGATGTTCTTAAGTTTTATATATGTTATTTTTGTTATCGAAGCAGTCAAGATTATTATATTAAGAATGGTAGTGTTTTTTCAAGAAAAAAATTACTGAAGAAAAGGCCTTAAGGTTGTAATTTATTAGGAAGTGGTACGGAATGTAGTATGAAGAACATGCCAAACATTTTTGATATATATTTGGAAATAATGAACCATTTTGTAATAATTTATAGCGTTTTACTAAAATATATACATTATACATTTTTTTTTAAATTTATTTAGTCATATAATAATCTGTCTCGTGGACAATAGTTATACTGATATATGAACACATTTACACCATATTTTTTTATTATTGGAATTTATAACTGTATCAAATGATAAATACAACAAGTAAATATGAACAAGTAACATGACATGTACAACATGAAGAGAAACCACCCATTGTTAGCACTTCAATTATATTTCTATATTAGAATATCCCGAGGCCATCTTCTTCTTTTCAGACTCATCGGAGGTTTCTCAGGAATAGAAGAGGAAGGTTGGAAACAAGATGGTTCAGAAGTTTATTATGGAAGGATAGCTAACTGGATTGAGCTAAATCGGAAACATATGGTACATTAAGGTCTTTATGGATGATTTTATTTGTGACAAAGTAGGGAGCATTAAGGATTTTACGAAGGATTTTGGATTGTAGGGATTGGATACGAGGGGAATTTGATGGTTTATTAGAGCCCCAAAAGCTCAATCCCGTTAGTCCAAATAGGCCTTATTATAGTAATATATATGAGTATTTCGTAAATAGTTGAAACATCATACATTAGTCTCAAAAAAAAAAAAAAAAAAAAAAAAAATCGATGAGGGTTTACTAGGGAAATTGAGGACTCTTTTAATATATCATCTTTCATGCCGAGCTAGCTATATTTTCCGATGAAATTCTCACATTTTTATTTGTTAATTTTAATTTCAAAACCTCCAAGTAAAAATAACACCGTACACAGGGTATTCGATGAAACCGCCCGTGCAGAATAATTTCTTGCCGTTGCTTCTACCTCACAAGCCATATCCTTCTAAGGTTCAAGAGCACTCCTTCTTTGTAGGTTAAGAACCTTCTCTATCTATCCCTTTATATAATCTTATTATCATGAAATTGCTATCTTTCCGATTGCAATAACTTGCCCTTTGATGTAAACTTAATAGACACACCACTTCTAAGACCCAAAGGGGATCTCATAAGGTTGTGAAGGTTTCCCTTATCTGTACCCTCAGATAAATTGAGTACCGGAAAGAACGTTAAAAAGAAATGAGGGGGGGAGGAGTATACCACAGTGACGCAATAAAGTAGTGTATTGTTTTCATTTGTTCCTTCTTTTCCTCTGATAACTTTTCATTAGTTGTGGAAGGTCGGACACTGTCTTAATTGTAGTATAATGGTCTGGTTTCTGTAATAATTCTATATTATCTAAATGATTTTAATGTTATTTCTATAAATTATTTTGATTTTACGACTTTATAATTTTCATAGGGCTTTCAAAATATAGAGAAAAAGACTATTGTCATTTATCTTTAATATGGTTACTTAAATACCAGAAAATAACGTTGCTACAAGTGTGGACCAGGTATAAATGCAAAGAACTCCATGTATATGATTTCCACCTTGGCAGATACTAAGAAAAACAGTTTAGTTCATATAAGTTTGAAGAAGTAAATTAATTTAAACGTCTGCCTGGGATCCCTAACTGTAAGCAATGGCATCTCAAAGGATTTTGTGAGAAGAAAGGTTTATATCTCACCGTTGATGCTTTGAGCTAGGTAGACATATAAGAAGTAGTTATCTGTCAAGGACAACCAAATAGTGGTTTCCCTCCCCTAAAGAAGAATTCAGCGCCTCATATATGGACCTAGGAGAATTGGCTATACATATTATATATCAAGAAATTTATAACCTCCATGGTAAACCTAATATAATGAAGCATACTCGTAAAGGCATGTAGCTCGAATATCAGAGGATGATATTAGTCGGGCAGAAAAATAATTAGTTGGGCCATTCATAGGAACAGCCAGAGGAAGACC